GTTCTGCCCCTGTGATTATGCCAGCCGAGAAGCAGGGAAGGGAAGATGAACTTTGTTCTGCTCTGAGTTTCCCTGTCCAGCAGTGTCTGTCAGATTAAAAATGAGAGGGAAGGAGGCCAGAGAATCTTCCAGATGGAGAGTTCAGAGGAGGGCACAACCAGATTCCCTCTCTGCAGTGACGTAGCTGGCCATCCAACCTTTGGACCAAGAGCTAGGAGTAGCACAGGCTGCTGCCTGATCCTGTAGTGGAGTGGGGCCCCGGCAGAACCGTCACCCTTGGCTTAGGGTAGGAGCAGATTCAAACCACACAGAGAGTCTTTACTCTGAGCGCTGGCTGGAGGTTGAGCCCTTCATCTTGGACTCCACTTTAGGGCGTGTTCCACAAGCCATTTGGGCAACTGTAAAAACCAGAGTGGGAGTTGGTGTTCTCCAACCTCTCTGTTTTTTCCTTTAGAGTAAATCAATCATATAAGAAAGGTGACCTTGGATGTTGGATGCGGCAGTCACAATGGTGGCCCACTTCCTTGGACAGACTCACATGTGGACCAGTTCCAGGCAGCAGGGCTTTGGTGAGGATACAGTGTGCTGACAGACTTTCTCCACACTTATTGGTAGCACAACTTTTAAACTGGTTTCAATATTTATGGAAAAGTATCCAATGTGGCTCTAGGAACAGGATTTTGCTCAAAAGAGAACTGATTTTTAGATTAAGGCTATCTGAGGTCTATGTGATGATGGAATGATAATGAATAAAGTTAAACACTGACTGTACAGTTTGACCTTCCTTAACAATTGATTATTTTAACATTGCATCTGCAGTCTCAGTTTCTCTCTGAGAGGAACCTCTTTTTCTCAAATTCAGGTTATTAGAGTTTGGGGAGGGTGTGTGCTGTTGGGAGCAGAGCTGTTTGACTTGAAATGTCATCCTATTCTGAGAAAACATTCTGGGGCCACGTTAGGGCATCCCTGTGCAAATGTCACATTGTCAGAGTGTCTCCCCTGGGATTAGACTAGCCATGGTACTTTCCATCCTGTCTGGGTGGTCAGACAAAGCCACTGGACTCCTTATTGCCAGGGCGCCAACCCAGCCAGGGTCATGCTCCCCGAGATTTCATGGAATTTGATTTATCTCTATCTCTCTGAATTTTAAGGTGCTAATTATTGGCTGATTGGTATTCTGTTCCTCAGATGTCACCTAATGATTTTCCAGATCTTATGCTTCTTGTTAAATTTACTTTGCTTATGCCTGGTAAATATGACAGCATTTGACACACATGAACAGGTGTGTTGAAGATGTATTGTGCTATGGGGTGTGTGTGTGTGTGTGTGTGTGTGTGTGTGTGTGTGACTCAGGTCACAGAAGTGTAGATTTCTATGGAGAGAGACCTTTTCATTTTATGAAAACCTAGAGTACAAATTGAGAGGATAGGAAAAAGAATAAAAAAATTAATATCAACTTAATAATTCTGTTTTCAATTTTAATAGTAATACAAACGTATAATATACCTTTATTAAGCAAATCATCTTGAGTGTATATTATATGCCAGACACTGTCCTAGAGGAAGTAGATTCAGTAAGGAACAGAATGGATGTGGTCTTTGTCTTTGTCAAATGTATGGTCTGATAGACTTTCACATACATTTTGATAACACTGATCAATTTCCAGGTGCATAACAAAACTCAGACTTACTCTGATCATCCTCTTATGCACTAAACATATCAGGGTTTCACAAATTCTGAAAATGCTCTGTAAGAAATACATGTAAATTGAAATAGAACTTCGAGGAATATATCTGAGAAATGTTGTAGGGGTTGTGTTGCTCTTCTTGTGAGGGTTTAAATCAGTATGCAGATCTCAAATAGTTCAGTATGTTTAAAATATTCATTTATCAAGTTACTTAACCAGGGCTTTGTTTCCCAACTGTCTGGTTTTCACTGATACATAGAAAAATGTTTAAAAATCTTCTCTTAGTTGAAAATTGGCTATCATTTGAAAGAATGTTGCAATAATTTGTCTGTAGAAACAGCTCACTGAACATAGCATAAAAAGAAAAACGAGGGCTGAATTTATTGTGTCTTTATTCTTGAGTCTTGGTTTTCATTCTTGAGTGAGCAGACTTCTTTCCTAGCTAGGTATGTGGGTAATTGTTAAAGACTTAAAGGTCAATAACCAATCCCTTAATGTGGCAGTCTAGTTTGGTGAGATCTGCAGAATGCAATAGTGGAGGCAGAGCCCTCAGTTCTGGGCAGTGTTGCCTAAAGTAAGATTCAGTTGGGTGGTTCTCAGAGATAGGTTTCAATTTGGGAGGAGATGAATCACAATCAAAGGGCCTTTCTATGCTTGAAAAAATGTTTGTTTAAATTCAGACTGTTCTTTAAGGGAGCTGGGGAAAATGTAATGGATTGAAAGGCTTTGGGTTGGTAAAGATTTTCTGGGAGTCTATTCTCTGAAAAACCACCAAGATGAATCTGAGTTATTGGCCTATACTGCTCTTCTTCCATGTTTATGTCTTTCAGGAGCAACTGAAGCCCAAACCCATTTGGAGTCATTTAAATTTAATTCATGTCTTGCAGGAGCTCATATGAAGGTTCGAGTCTGTCTGCTCTAGAATAAAATGGAGATAAGTTGGGCATGAGAGGAGTGGGAAGTGGTATGAGCACTGGAGCTGCAGGTGAAAATGTTTTCATGGCCTGAAGATGTTTAGGACCTTGGGTTTTTGGGCTAAGACAAACATGGAAAATATATGGTTAATTGGAGTGGCTATTCTCAAGTTTTTGACAGAGATGTATACTTTGGGCACTGGCATAAAAGTTTCTGATCCAGACCTGCTTTCATACTAGGTAACTAGCACACATATACATACTAGTCCACATACTTTGGGTACCCGAGTTGTACACAGAAACTGGAGGATGCCCTTGCACTTGTTTATTCAGAAAGGTTTTATTGAATAACTGTTGGGTCTTAGCATGGGATCTGGGGCTGGCTTGAACAAACCTCATAGGTTTTAAAGAGTTTTGACACTGATTAAATTCGTCAAATATAAACATAAGCGAAAGTAGTAATTGAAGACATTAGATTGAGTGGCTGTCACAAGGCATTATATGATTAAGGTGGGGCCAAAACTCTATTTTAACGTCAGTCTCACCATTCTCCCTTTTCACCTTACTTGAAAATTCTAACATTTGCTCAGGACAGTTATTGTTGGTTTTTCTACTAGGTTTATTGATTATTACTCAATACCTATTATTTATTATTCAATTTATTGGATTTATCATCACATGTGCTAATTTCTTTGCTCATCATTGCTTTTTTGTTCCTCCTTTTTGTGACTAAGTCCTTCTTATTCAAGTAAATTCTTTAGTAGTTCTTTCAATACAAGTAAAGTACTGTGAGCAGTAAATGATCATTTTTCCCTGAAAAATGTCCTTATTTTTCTGTTTTGAATGATTGATTTAGCATGGCTATAGAATTTCTACTTTTTGTCCCCCTTAGCACTTTGAACATGTTATTCCATTGCTGTCTTGCATTTATTTTTGCCAGTGACAAGTTGCAGAGTATGTTTTGTTTTTCCTTTCTGGTTGACTTTAAACTTTTTTTTCTATCTTAGGTAGTTTGTGATTTCTTTTTGATATATCCATGTGTGAATTTTCTCTTATTTATGTTGTTGAGGTCTTGGAGTTTTTCCATGAGGATTCATATCTTTTATACATTATCATTCTTTTCATATTGTGTCTCTCCCTTTCTTTTGCATTTGCTACACACACACAACTTAAAAAAATTACTAACACTTAATATTTTGATATTTATGAAGTGGTGGGAAGGGATGCTGGCCAATATCTATGTTTTCAGATCAAAAATCGCTCATATTTTACAAAATGCAATATTATACTATTTTGTCTAAGCCAAACTATGCTTCTTCCAACCTTATTACAATCCGCATAACCCAGCAGGAGAAGAAACTTCTAATGCTCTTCCATGGGGCAGCCTTATATCGTGCATTAACCTGCTAAGGTTTACATCACAACCTATCAATGTTGGCCTTGTTCTTTGATGGTCATGAATCAGTCACAGTGGGGTCTTTGGTGGGATAGGGGGATGTGAGGGAAATAGTCCATTAAGGGGTAACTCAATTACTTAGGATATTAAAAGAATGTAAGAACAATGTGGAAACCACGGAGTGGTTGGCTATTCCCAATGATGTACCTTTAGGAGGTGTTAGAACCTAGCCAAGCGTGAGAGAAAGAGGCAAATTGCAATTAGTTTTGATTATGGAATCACTATATGAACAATGCTGGACCACTAAAGAATTAGCCTCTTGAAACCTTAAGTTGTTATTTTGCTTAACAAGTATAATTTCATAGATCTCTTATCTTTTCACTTATATATGGTCAGTGCACTGTATGTTTAAGTCATAGGGTACTTACTTTAACATGATGAGATTTAATTTGAAATGTAAGAAGTGTGGCTTTCTCTGTTTTCTGTGTTTCTCTTTACCTAAAGAAAGGGGAGTGTCCTCCTAGAGGCACGGGATAAAGTCTGACTAGGAGAATCATACACTTCATATAAATGAGGTAGGATCCCCCAAGTAAAACATTTTAGGGAACTAGAAATAGATTGTGTAAGAAAGATGACAGTAAAAGAAACCAAGAAATAAAATGGTTGGTCAGATTTGAGTGTGCTGTATAACGTTTATTTTGATTTTCAGCTCTCCATTGTATAAGCTGTTTGAATTCTGTTGAGTTCATACCCCAAAATATTTGACTGTAGATCTAGCCAGATTTAAGTGATTCAATTCTGGGTAGGTGTGTTTGCTGTTTTCAGTTAATGACTATGTCTTTTATTGGCCTCTTGTGCCGGAGGCACAAGGCACTAGTTTTATCAATAGTTTATTTGGCTAGCACCACATCACAGGTGGAAATTCTACTTAGAGACATGGAGAGAAAATGGTTGGTGTTTTACTCTCAGATGACTCATTACTTTCATTTTTATCCCTTTGTAGCTTTGAAGCTCAGCAAAGAAGGGAAATCCATTGAGAACAGTCTGTAAAGGTAAGTGTATTTATTACGTGGCCTTGACAAACATTGCCTTTACCACATTGATTTTTCTTTTATTCAAAGATTTAAACACTGGGATTAAAGATATAGCTGACAGGACAACTTCCTTAACCACCTGCTTGTCCTCCCTCATAGGCAAAAGTGCTGAGCAATAGTTAGCAGAGAGCAGGAAGAAATAAAATGATGTGCTGAGGGTAGCCAAATGCAATTGTATGCTTGCTGACTTTTGCGTTCTTCTCAGCAGTTAAGACATCCAATGGAACTAAGTTTACTAAGATAAATGCTGGATGGAAAAAGAATGCTCTCGTACCACTTCTGGTCAATAGTTTAATAAAACCAGCTGGTCACATAAAGCATTTAAAATAAAATGCAGAGTGGCATTTCAATTGGGCTGAATGAAGTTTATAATGAAAGTCAGTTGTGCAGTTGTGCGGAGGAGCTGGTTTTGTAGAAGGAAGAAAACCAGCCAGTTCAGTGTGGCTAATTTCATTCTCCCTAGTCACTGTGAACCCTAAGTGAGTTACAGGAAATGAACTTCCAAGTTTGAAGCAATAGGAAAGGTACCTACTCAGCCTTCTATAAAACATTACAGTTGAGTTGGTTTTTACATGGAAAAATGTAATTGTTTCCTCTTTGCTAGGTATATTTATAAGTATACCCCTGTACAGCATTGTTCTTTGATTCATTGTTTAATTTCTGTTCTGCATGAAGTATTTTAATTTAAAGAATTCATTCTGGGGCATTATAGGGCTGTGGTTTCATGATGAGTCTTTGGTGGCCAGAGTGAAATATGCCATAATTTTACATTTGTTTTCTTCATCAATTATATTTTGACAATTTTAGATTTTTTTCTGTCATTTTTATTACAGCAGTCATGACCATCACCATTTTAGTTAAAGCTGAAAAGCCATTTTGATTTACCTTATATCGTAAGTTATTCCTAACTTTATGAGAAATCTACTCCTGGGCTGAATTTTTGATGTTTATTTTGAGGGCAAAAAAAGAATTTTACAGGGAAATTAGGGAAAAAAAATCCATTTTGAATAATTAAAACATGTGCTATAAAATACCATTTTAAGAATTTGCTTTGGGATGACTAAACTGGTCCATGAAAGCTGGTTCATTTTCTCTAATGTTTGGCAACTTTTGAAGAAAATCCTATCTCATGAAGCAGATTACTTTCAGCCATTTAACTTACATTGAACCATGTCTTGGAATGAAGTAGCACTTGATAACTTTTAGAAAGAAATTCTCATAAATTATTGGAGTGTAGTGAGGATGTTGCAATCTTGAAAACCTTGTGATCTTTAGATATAGCCTCATGGTGCTCACATTCCCCTTGGAGAGGATTTCACAAATGTGCAAATCATTTCCTCTACTCTCAAAGAAAATTCTTTCTAGTATTCTAGAGTCAGACATGGATTTTTGCCCTGGTTTGACTTTTATTAATTGTTGGACCAGGGACAACCTATTTAACACCTCTGAGTTTCAGTTTCCTAATTTGTGAAATGGGAATAATAATATTGTTTTCTTTACAAGGTTGGTGTGGAGATTAAGTGAATTACTGTGTGTCAAGGTTTTACAGAGCAGATCCTAGCCCATGATAAGTGCTCAGTAGGTATTAAACGCTGCTGCTTTTGTTAATATTACTGTCATCACCATCATCATTAACATTAGCATCCATTTGAATTTATTCATTAGATATTTTGGGATGTCTATTTTTGAGGGAGTTTTAGGATGTTTTCAAAATCAACATGTTGTTAACAAAGATTGGTAAATTCTACTTTGTCTTTAAGAATTGAATGATAAGGTAACTTTCAGCTATTATGAGAAGTGAGGTCTTTGGGAATAAAATGTTTTCAGGTTAAAGTTTTGTAGGCATCAGAACAAGTACTTCTTTGGTTGTATGGTCAAGTACTAATTAATATAATCTTAACAGATATGATCTACTGCTAGTTAGTTAGATTCTCAAGGCATTTTCGAAGAAAGTCTTAGTAAATAGAGATGAAATTTTTTCTTCATTTCCTCCGCAGCCCTCATTCCTATCTTGCGTGGGTTTCCCCTTCCTAATGGTAACCTTATTAATTTTTTTGAGGTAATTAGACTGGTGTAATGTATTCCAGAGACCCTACAATCAGTCTAGGGATAGGTCCATGACCAAGGCTTTGCTAACTGGATACTCCTTCTTTGGGACTTGAGTCTTGAACTAAGGGATTCTCCTTTATGGTGGGCATTCTGCTCAGAAGTATTTGCTATGAAATCACTGAAGCAGTTTCCATTTCCTAGATGCAATGGCTTTTTTGTCACTAGTGGTCCCCAAACCTTATTTTTCAGTTTGTCATGGAGTTGCAGAGTCTCCATTTTCCTTTCAATAATCCTTCTTAAATTAGCCAATTGGTTTCTGTTGCTTGGAACCACAGAGACTTGACTGAGAGAATGATTTATCTATCTTGGAGCTAGATTTAGAATAAATGGTAGAATTTGGGGGAGATTTATAGTTAAAACATGATTTAATTTATTTACCATTTAATTAATTGATTGTTAATTTTTCCATCATGTATAAGCAGCTGAATGTTTGGATATAGATTAAAAAAGGTACAATTTTTTCCATCGATTTTTCAAAAATAGGTTATTTTTGTGGACTCCTCACTACTCTGTGTTTTGTAAAAAGACATCATTCCTGACCCCTTATTTAAGCTCTCAAAAGTTATGTGTGCCTGTGGGATTGTAAAAGAGAAGGGAAACAGAGGGGTCATACCTCTAATTTCTTGGGCCTTGATCTCTTAGTAGCATGAGGATTGTGACATGAATCTGATTTCCTTCTACTTACCCCTGCATCCCAAAACAAACGCTTTAAATAATTTTCTACTTTCCCTAAAATTTTATTTCTCTTTGAACACTTTTCTTGCCCTACTGAACACCTTCTTTTCAATGATGTGTACAATGTGATTGAAAACTCAATTACGTTGGTCTCTGACATTACTTGTAGTTTCTGAGAATGGAATGGGCAAGTTTGCTATATTTCCCCTTGTGTCTTGTTTGTTGACTACTTCTGCGTTCTGTGCAGTGCCTAGAACAAAGGTGGTTAATGATTTTTTCACAGGGACATCAATTTTGCATTCCTACTGTGAATAAATAGCACAACTGCATTATATGGTGGAAAGATCCTTAACTGAGGTGTTAGGAAATAGTCTGCCTTCTAGTTTAGACTCTGCTGCTTGCTAGCCCTTGTGATTTTGAACAAGATACCTAATTTTTCTTAAGGTCTCATGTTCCTCACCTGTAAAATCAGGATAACCCTTGCCCTATTTATTACATAGGGCTGTTTTGAGGATGGCATAAGGATAATGTATGTGAAAGTGCTTAGCAAATTGTAAAGTGCTTTATAGCATCAATGCATTATTGTTATTACTCCACACATGTGTTAAACAGATTGAAAATGGGGGGCTTGTTTTATGACAGTGACTAGAAAAGGAGGTAAATTAAACACCAAAATAAAACCCTGTCTTGTGCTTGTACTGGGGGTTTCCTATTTGTGCCTGCAGCTCTTCCCTTCTCTCAAAGGGCCTGTGTCCTAGGGGGCTAACCTCTATTGTCTGCATTTCATGCCCTTGCTCTCTGGCTTTCCTTTGGATTGGTTAATGGAGACAGTGAGTGTAGGTCCGAGAATATGAGGTTAGAATATTACTCCTGACCTCATGGCAAGATCATACTAGTGGGTGATTCAGGTAATGACTTATCCAGTCATTTTTAAGCTCTGCAAGTGCTTTGGGAGGAACTATATCCCATAGAAGTGGGCAAGATGATTTTTTTCAGCTCAACTGGTTGTTACTTTGTCTGTTCTAAAAGCATTGTCCCTGTACTTAACCCTGATCTTAAAGGGACTCATTTGTTTTCTGAGAGTCTCCTAAAATGACATCCAGGGGAATGTAAAACTCAAGTAAAGAGAAACTTTGAAGACTTTGTTCTGTTTGATTTCATCCCCCTTCCTACCCTCCTGCTTGTGGCATTTCTTGTTTATCAGGCAAGGAGAAAAGCAGTAAAATTTGGCCTGGGGTTTTCTCATCCCTAGGTGTGAAATTATTTCAGAACTATAATAATAATACTTTGCATTTCTATAATCCTTTTATTTGAAGATCTAAAAGTGTTGTGTTGGTGTTAATAGAGCTTCCCAGCACCCTCTGAAGTAGGTAAGTATTATTAGAGGAGATTTCCTTCAGGAACATTTTCACTTCATATCCCATGTGTGACTTGAAAATGCTTTTGTATTATTTGGGAATCTCAACTATTTGAAATGCCACATATATAGAACACTTCTTTATATTCATGCTTCACTAATTCCCAGCACATTGAGAAAACAGTTGTTTCTCATGAATGGCTGTGATATTATTTAGAGGGAATTAAAATAAAAACATTGTTACTGCCTTTTATTTGAATATCCTGAAAATATTCAGTAATGTTCATCACAAATTGAACTGATTAGCTTATAGTTAATTTTCCTTTTTTAAGGTAACAGATTTGTAGGAATATATTGAATAAGTAATGGGAACTTGACTTGGTAGTGTGATGTCCTTTGGGAGCTCATGAGATGTCATGTCAATTAAAAATAAATAAAATAGGAAAAATATGTAAATAGTATGAGCCAATAGAGTAAAAATACTAGTATTCCAGAAAGGAAAAATAAAACTTAACAAACTGAGTTTGTACTCTGATTTAAAGTATGCATGCTTGATTACATTTTTTCCTTTAAACATTGGCAAGTTCTATCTTAGTGGTGTTTGGGTTACTGGTCCCCAGTCGTTAATACAGAAGTGCTGCAGTTCTGTTATAGCACAGAACATTCAGGAAATGGCTTCTGAACTTTAGTCCACTCCGGTTATTTTGCGTAGCATCCTCTCAGCATACCCATCAAAAAACCTGTCACCTCCCTAGAATTCTATCAGGGATCAGGGTGGCAGCCTCCACTACTTTAAGGAAATGGATTACCTCCAGCT